CAGTACAAGGATTAAAGGAAACGATTTAATAATATAAAAATAAATAAGTTTAATAGTTAAACGTCTTAACCTTTTTTCTTCTTTCATGAAACCAAAACAACGCAGTTTTCTCTGTTGTCGTGCTCACGGCAAGACCCACGCGAGCAAGTAACAAAGGTACCAGGGTAGTGTACTCCAAGGTGGAGTTGCCACGGAGGATCATGTAGAGGAGCTGATGAGAATAAAGTGGGGGCATTAGCCATTAGGGACGTCCTTAGAGAAAAACTAAATGGATATATGTAGTAGGATATTCAGAATTGCTAGAGTCACAGACAAGCATGACACAAATTTCACAAATGCATTATTTGTGAATGAAAAAATTACCCAAAATAATCCTAACTTTACCCGGTCTTTCAAAAATAATCCCACCATTCAATGTGATGCATAATAATCGCAACTTTAATGAAATTTGCCAGTTTTGGGTCGCCGTTAAGTTTCTAACGGAGGGTTAACGGAAATGCCCGTTTTAGGCAACAAATTTGGATTATTTTTGATGAATTTTTGTTTTTAATTTTTTTTTGAAATTTTCATTTAAATTTTTTAAATTACTTTCTACCTCCATCATCATTTCTTTTTCCTTTTTTAAAGATTAGTCTTAGTTTAAAAAATAAAAACAATAGATATAAAAAATGAAAAAATGAGAAATGTAACTAAAATGATACAAAAATAATAAAATAAATAAGGTAATCAATGGAAACTAACTTGAAATTGGAAAAAGTAAAAAATAAAAATATACGGGTGGGTTTTAATATTTTAGGCATTATACAAAGTATTAACATATCATTTCTTATTTTTTAGAAAAAATTATCTACAATAATTCCAACTTTACCGGACGGCTTGTTCTTTTAAAAAATAAGTAGTACATTAAGACTCTGTATAGTGTGTAAAATGTTAAACCCACGACTCCATATATATTTATTTTATTTCTTACCAGTTTTTGTTTAATTTCTATTGATTACATTATTTATTTGATTAATTTTGTATGGTTTTAGTTATTTTTCTCATTTTCATTATTTTTTATATCTATTTTTATCTAAGGTAAGAATAATCTTTAAAAAAGAAAAAGAAATGGAGGTTGAAAGTAATTAAAAAAATTTAAATAAAAATTTCAAAAAAAATTAAAAAACAAAAATTCATCAAAAATAATCCAAATTTGTTTCCTAAAACGGGCATTTCCGTTATCCCTCCGTTAGAAACTTAACGACGACTCAAAACTGGCAAATTTCAGTAAAGTTGGGATTATTATGCATCACAGTGAAAGGTGGGATTATTTTTGAAAGACCGAGTAAAGTTGGGATCATTTTGGGTAATTTTTCCTTTGTGAATTTAAATTTCATTTTTAATTAATTATTTGAGATCTTTTGATTTCTTTTAATTAATAAGGTTCATAAATATAATGACAAGTTTGTTATGTTTGTGTCATTTTTTTTGTGACTCTAACATTTGTACAGGATAATAGTCCATGTTAACCTACAAAGAAGATCTACTTTGGCCCAGTTTGGTAATAACTTTGGACTTTAGCCTTAGTAGTCTGTTTGAAAAAGTTATCTAACGCTAGCTTTTAGCTTAGTATTTTTAGAATTAATCTAAACTATTAAACTTTTATCCAAAAACTAATGCTTATAAAAACGTTGTTCATACCCAAACAACGCCAAAGACAACTAAAAGTCAAAAGGATAACACAACATCAGAGTGATGTCAAATTTTACATTACGATACTCTGTATGTCTTATAGACATGTATAAATAGTTATTATTTGCACAATAGAAATAAGAATTATTTAAATAATACTCCATCCCTCCCTGACAACTTTTCTCCTTTCCTTTTTTCATCCGTCTTAAAAAACACTTCTTATTTCTATTAAAAAGTTACTTTTATCACTTACATTTCATACCTTACCTATCACATCATACCTTTTTACTAATAATTTACCCATCAATTCGTACTTTTACCCATTACATCAAAAGACTTTTTTGAAAATTCAATACCAAATACACCTCCTTTAAATTTCTTAAAAATCAATATCTCACATGGTTTTAGGACCGGAGGGAATACAAAGAGTCATTATCTATGTGTATTAATAAAAAGAATATTTCTTTGGTGAACCTAAGGTCAACACTTACTTTTGTGCACCTTAGTCATACCGTGAATCTTATCTGGCAGACAAATGACCTGACTTCTGGGTAAACATCATATCTAAGTGAAGAAATATTTTCTGCGTCCTAATTTCAATGTCTTATTCCACATAATAAAATTTGGCTTAGTTTAATTTCAATTTTCTTTAATTTAATAATGGTGTAAAATTTAAAAGAAATTATATACTCCGTATTAAAGAGTCATAGGAAATTCTTTATAAAATAAAAACACACAATGATATGATTATGTTATTTTAACAAATGGTTGACAACAAAATGTATACAAAGAAGAAAAGGTGTAACGTATGGAATATATGAATTTCTATTCATATTTTTAAAGTCATGAATTTCTAATCATATTATTAAAGTGAAATTTGCACTGAATAGGACTAGAATATAAGTCATTTTCCAATGTAGGATTTAAACTTTTTTGGTCCCTAAATAGGCCTTAATAATGACTAGTGAGAAGAATTATATCCAAGTAATGCTGGACATTTAGTTAAATAATGACTAATAGATAATGACCAATGGTCCTATATTGGGAAATAAAAACATATGCTCCTATATTTAGAAAGTCATTATGTTTTAGTCCTATTTAAGTAAATTACTCATTATTAAAATGACAATTGACTATGCACAAAGTAGTGAATTTCTATCAAAATGGTTCATTTGACCTTAGAACTTCAGGTCATATTATGACTTAGGGCCCCTACAGTGCTCCATTCGTAAAACTGATGGTTCTTATCCCCCTAACTGACTCCCTAAACCCTAACCCTAGCCCCTACCTCCTACCTGCCCACCCCACCACAACACCCCCCTTTCCCCTCCCATTTCGCCGATTAAATTGGCTACAGTTACTGTAGCCAATCGCGAAATGCGGAGGAGAGCAGGGGGGTTGTGATGGGGTGAGCAGGTAGGGGGTAGGATTTAGGTTTACGAGGTTTACGAAGGATAGAACTCATCAATTTTACGAATGGAGCATCGTTGAGGCTCCGAATCATAATATAATCCGAGATTCTAAAATCAAAAGACCCTTAACAAATTTTTATTCATATCTCTAAAGTTGTTCCTTTTTGCTGAATGACTTTTGTTAATTTATTTAAAAACATTCTGATTTTGACTTTGGGCGAAGATAAATAAAGTATAATTTTGGTTGACTTTTTCAATTTTGCCTTTGATGTAATTGGTAAAACTAAGATGTGATAGTTTGGTTATTAGTGAAAAAGTATGATGTGATAGGTAAGGTATGAAAAAATAAAGATAAAGTTGTTTTTAATTAAAGTGAAAGTATTTTAGAAAATTGAAAAAAAAAACAAAAGGGAAAAGATTTTATGGAACCCAAACTATTAAAAAGACATATAATAATAATAATAATAATAATAATAATAATAATAATATCGCATGCCTAACCCGCCTGACATCACCTCGATCGTCATTCTCCCTATCCCACAACAACTGCATCTCATACTGTTGGTGTTCTTCGTAAAAAAAATTCAAACGTTCAATCATCATATATATATATATATATATATATATATATGTATGTATGTATGTATGTATGTGTATATATATATATATATATACACACACACATACACACACACACAAACATATGTATATATATATATAAAACACTAAAACATAATAAATTTCTCTAAATAGCAACACAAAATTTAATTTTCATAACTAGTATACTAATTAATTAATTAATTACTTATTAATTCTATTGTACTAAAATGCCCTTTATACTCCCTCCGTCCATAATTTATCTTCCACTTCTCTTATTTGTCCGTCGACAAAGTATCTTCCCGTTTTCTTTTTTGGTAAATAAGTTTTCTTCAAAGCACATCACTAACCTCACTTTTACTCATTAGTTACTATCGTTACCTACACTTTATATCACTTTTTGTAATGACCAAGGACAAATATGGTCCAGAAAGTCAAAACATTTTCTACTTTTCCTTAATTTACGTGTAAAGTCAAAGTGGAAAGTTTATTTTTGGACGAAGGGAGTATGATTTTATATTTATTGACCCATCACGTTCTAGTGTCCTTCGGTGGCATTTAGAGAAAAAGTATTAAGTTTTGGTGCTACTTGAAGCAAGTTTCACTGTATATATAGAATTTATAATGTCACACTACAAAAATAAAACCACTTTGTGACACCAACGATTTTGAGACACCTACGATGCTTTGTTCATAAAATTGATAGTTTCTACCCCTAACCTCCCCTCGACCCATCAATTTCACCCCACCCCAGTCCCCCTTAGATCACCGATTTGAGGGGGCCTTCTTATAAATCTACATGTCAATTAAATTCCTAGCCTCCCTCCGTCCCTCATAGATCTTCACATTAGCTGATCTTTTTATTTGCACCCTATAGTTTTTTTCATTATTAGCCTTTAATTTTTAACATTTAAAATATTACAATTACCTCCAGTTAATTTATTTATTACACCTCACTTACCTCATTATTTGATATACTCCACTCGTTAAGAATAGTTTGGTAACTTTCATTTTTCTTCATTTTTTAAAAAGCATAAAAATTTAAAATGAAAACATCTTAGTGAGTCAGAAGGAGTAAAAGGTATCCACATTGAAGAAGCCTTTAATTTTTAACATTTAAAATAGTACAAGTACTTCCACTTAATTTATTTATTACACCTCAGTGACCTCATTTGATATACTCCACTCATTCTTATTAAGAATATTTTGGTAAACTTTCACTTTTTTTCATTTTTTTTAAAATCATAGAAAGTTAAAATGAAAACATGTGAGGAGTAAAAGGTATCCACATAGAAGAAGCCTTTGATTAAACGCGTTTCTGGCCATTTCTGTACTCTATAAATATCAAAATGGTGTCTCCATTTGATTCCACACCGAAGCTTCCATCTCAAACTACAAACTCTCTCAACTAGTAACCCTTCCACGCACTGTCTTTTACTTATTTCAGAGAATGGCAAATCCAAACACCAAAACCCTATCATATGTTTTTGTATTTATCGTCATCATGTGTCTCTTGCTGCTGTCTGAGGCGCGCATCATTAACGACAAAAATAATAAACCTAAAATAATTAACTGCGCTATTGTGGGTGAACATGGCGGCACTGGCCAGCAGCAGCATCATCTGCTCAGTTATCTTATTAAGGGATTCATTCCCACTGAGGTCATTGACAAACATCCTAAAAGAAGATGCCTGCGGCAGTCTCCCGGAGGTCCAGATCCCCATCACCATCGTAAATAGTTCATAATAACAACACTGCTATGTGAGCTAGCTAGATGGGTACGTACGTTACGTACCTTCAATTCCTTTATATATATATATGCAGCTAGCAACCCAATAGCCAAATACTCCATCCGTCCCGGAAAAACATGGGAGTTTTGATTTTGAAGAGGGATTTAAGGGGAGTGTATTTTGGTATTGAATTTCCAAAAATTTCTTTTGATGTGATGGGTAAAGGTATGATTTGATGGATAGATTATTAGTAAAAAGGTATGATGTGATAGGTAGGGTATGAAAAAGTAAGGGGTAAATGTGACTTTTTAATAGAAATGAGAAGTGTTTTTTGGGACGGATGAAAAAAGAAAGGAGAAAGGTTTTCTGGGACGGATGAAAAAAGAAAGGAGAAAGATTTTCTGGGACGGAGGGAGTATTATTACTACTGAGTATAATTTAATACACTCTACCTATCCATTTCTTTTTCAGATACATAATTAAGCAATACTCGGAATATATTTATATGAAGAAGACCAAGACATCTCCATCTCCATCGCTAGCTCATGTATAACTATATAAATAAATAAATAATATATATATATATATGTGTGTGTGTGTGTGTGTGTGTGTGTGTGTGTGTATGTGTGTGTGTGTCTATATATATATATATATATATATATATATATATATATATATATATCCAGTAAAATCCCACAAAAATAGGATGTACTACTTCAGTAATTTTATGTATACATAAATAAGTGTGGGACGCGATAATGTACTATAAGCTTTATGTTGTGTTATCTCTTGTAAAATTATTGTATTGTGTTTCATTTATAATGTGATATATATGCGTGTGGTATAAAAAATGAAGTCGCCGTTGTTTATATTTTCTCATACTCCCTCCGGTTCCCCTCTCGTTTTTTCTTTGTCCGACAAAATTGTTCTCTTTTCTATTAAAAAACCACTTTTACCCCTTACTTTTTCATGCCCTACCTATCACATCATACCTTTTTACTAATAATCTATCCATCACATCTTACTTTTATCCATCACATCAAAGGTATTTTTAATTTCGAAAGTCAATACCAAAATATCCCTCCCTTAATTTCCCAAAAAGTCAATAAGGGAACTTTAGGGGACGGAGGGAGTATAAATTTCGAGAATATTAAGTATTCTTAATTATACTCCATCCGTTCCCAAAAATATTTCCTCTTTAAGTTGTTTCTACTTCCAACAAAATTTAAATAAGCAATTATACTCCCTCTATTCTCAACGTTAGAGATTAGCGTTAGCATTTTGAGAAGGCTATCTGACGGAAGCTTTTAGCGTTAGCGTTTTCCGAATTAATCTACACCGTTGATATTTTATCCAAAACGCTAACGCTAATTGAAAAAGCTCTTCCCAAACAAGGCGTTTATCATGTACTCCATAACTCAATAATAAGCAATATTATTATTACAATATTCTAACATGTTATCGGAGCAAGTCTGTTTCGGGTTCCATTATTCCTGGTTGTTTAGATGTGGGTTAAGCGATATCTCTTACCCGTCCGTGGCATGGGTTGAGTTAGCTATACAAGATTGAGAAGCCACCACTACCCGTTATGAGGGCTAGCTATAAGAGATTGAGATACTAGACCTGTTTGTCTAAGTGCTAACTAGGTCAAGCTAGTTACCACTTGAGCGGGAGTGTTGGAGTTTCCACATTGGAAAACAAAGAGAAATATCACTAGCAGATATAAAAGAATGAAGCCCTAGCACTATGCCCAACAGAATTTTAACATGGTATGAATGCAAAATTTATTTTCTTGTTCCTCAATCGGCTTTACTTCTATCATTATTCAAGGAATATTAAGAATAATAAGAAATAAAATATGATAATTATATACTTTCTTTATTCTATTACTTCTATAATTGTTATTCTACTATGATTAAAATCCCCTATACATAGAGCTCATTTGGACTTTTAGAGGATTTTAAAGAAGTGTATTTTGGTGTTGACTTTCTATAAGTTAGTATTGTCAACAATACTAACTTATAATGTATGATAGAATTTAGGATGGGTATGGACAACTGGATTGGGCTATAAGACACTTGTGCTGAACCACATTAAAAGATTGAATCCAATCGATTAGTTAGTTTAACTCAAGAGCTTATATACCGATTAATTTTCTCACACTTTTCCGATGTGGGATGCTCTTTAACACTCCCCCTCAAGTGGACAACCGGGCCATTTTGAATCTAACCGGTTGACCACTTGCAAATCAAGTCACATTCCCTTGACTTTCTTTTTTTTTTTGCGCCAACACCTAAAGAACCACGAGCCGCTGGGTATGGACTTCCAGACGAGCAATCGTGTTAAACGGGCCACAGGCCGTTGGTACATACTCTATACGGACAACTGGGCTAAAGACAAACGGGCCGCTAGGAATGAACATCTAGACGGACACCTTGACAAACGAGGTGGGCCAAAACCTGCTCTGATACCATGATAGAATTTAGGATTGGGTAGAGACAACTGAACTGGGTAATAAGACACTTGGGTTGAACCGCATTAAAAGATTGAATCCAATCGATTAGTTAGTTTAACTCAAGAGCTTATATACCGATTAATTTTCTCACACTTTTCCGATGTGGGATGCTCTTTAACAATGTATGCTAGTAAAAACTTTAACTAATAACCAAGAAGCATAGTATATAACCAAGAAGCATAGTATTACCTTCATCGATTATTTTACAACTGGTGTAATTGCACTGGAGCAATTGCATCGCTAGCATTTGCATCGGTACAAATCCAATGCAAAAAGTCCAAAATAAGCAATGATAAAGCTCATAAAATGTGAAGGAGAGAGTATAATATATTTCATATGCTCGGTAATATAATACTCTTTATAGCATAATTATATTCATATATAGAGTACATATTATTTATTTTTATACTCCCTCCATCCCCAGATTAAATTTTAAATTATATTCTAGAATCGTGAGATTTTTTTTTATACATTTTCATTCGTCATTTGATAGAATGCTACGGTCGTATTATCTTATGCATTTTTGTAAAATTATTGGTGTAGGTTAAATATATAAGTTTCATTTTTTAATTTTTATAAAAATTTCAAATAAAATTAATTTTTAATAAATTATATTACCTTGTTAATCTGTTTGTGAATTTTATTTATAGAGTAAGTACTTATAATATATTTATTAATTTATAAAATAACTAACTGTTTGATTATATTATTTATTAAAAATATTTATATACAATGAAAAAACAAAAAATTACTCAATTTCGTCCAACAATCAACCCGAAATGCTACTACATCTAGCTTTTTCAACTCTGGCTTTTCGAACTCCTAACGCCAAATACTCATTTAATGTTGAATCAGTAAAAACACATAAAAATAGTCTAAACATCCAAAAGCCATTTAAAAGGTCAATATCCAAACATGTATTAAAAATTTGGGAGGGGTAGTAATGCTACGTAGTAGCGTTACGAGAATCAGTATACAGAGAACGTGAAGAACGATTTGATAGAGTTATTAACAAATCATGTATAAGACGCTTTCAGTTTAAAGTTATTTTAGGGTATATCAAAATAGTCTAATAGAATAAGAAGAGAGTAATCTAAAACAAGTATGAAAGTTCGTCTTTCCGAAAACATATCCTGAAGACATCAATTTATAGGTAAAATATATATGGACATGTTAATTAATGAAACAACACAACTTTTCGTTTAAAATTTGAATGTTCGCATTCAAACATTAGAATGTGTGTAGCAGTTAACATACAAACGATTATTTATGGTATTTTGTGAAAATCGTTACATCTTATCACGAAACATTTGAATGTTTAGGATTAAACATTAAAAAATATCGGGTCTTTTCGTAAGCAATGCTGGATATAAACATTACATTCGAATATATTATTTTATAAATTTGATGTATATTAGTTTGAACTCCATTTATGAAAATTCAAAGGATTTTCATAAATCAACTATGTCCAAATTAAAATAAAATTTAATCCCTTGCTAACATGGAAACTCAACCCCAGCCCGGAGCTCTGCCCATGCTATATACTCCGTACTAACTAACAGTTGCCGCCTCCGAACCCATGCTATTGAATTTGTATTATCACTCAACGAATGTGCACTCTACACTTCCAAAATCGTTAACAACGTCTATTAAAAGTTTCATCTATTCTAAATAAATCTAGTTACATAAAAAAAGTCAATTACACAAGGGAAAAGACTAAAGTAGACGTACCACATTGAAAATATACTAAAATAGAAGTTCTATGATTTTATTCTCGAAATAGAAGTTAAAATACATTTATATTATCAATCATTATCATGTACATTATCAAAAAGTATGGTAATATGCACATGTATAGTGCTACATTACCATATTACAAATTTTTATTTATGAAACAAATAGAAATAAAACTCTTATTTTAATATTTTCTCTATGTTTCACCGCTATGGTGATTTCTCATTATAATAAAATAACCAAAAACAGTAAAACACATGCCCATATGTACTCTCCAATCCGCTTTTGAAAAGTGTGCTTCCTGTAAAAATGTGCATCACCTAAACAATTTGACAATTTGTCATTTTGTCTTAATTATAAAGTTTTGAGGACTTTATTCTTCCAACCTAAAGCGCGTCCGACAAGTGCATGGGCAAAGGCCCTCGAAGTTGGGTGTACTACCTACTCCGTATACCGGAATAATATTCCTTTCACCACAAAATATAATTTGATTCAAGGAATTTGGAAAAAAAGAGAAAATAAAATAATTTTCTCTTATTTTTCTCACTAAAATGCATTGGACGAATTTAATTTTCTAACCTCTTAATATATTTTGTTTTCTCATTTCCTTTTTTTCCACTTCTCTTTTCTTTTTCTCTCTATCCAACCATAAAAATTTGTTTTCTTTCTCATTTTCTTTTCTTTTCTATTTCAAATTCCTTGAATCAAACATACTGTAAGTGTTCGATCCGTCTTACTCCTTTCTTGCCCAAATTAATTACTCTTTAAATTATGTATTCCCTTCGTCCCTAGATGATTCTATTTAAAAATCACATAAACTTTTATTTATTTGTATGTTTTCATTGACTATTTGATTAAATAAAATATTTTGGTCACCTCTTGTTTTGTAGAACTTTTGATATACTTTTTAAATATGTAAGTTTTAGTTTTTTATTTATATACCAATATTTAAATAAAATAAATTGAAAAAACTTTAAATGTTACTTCGTTTTGCATAAAGAGTAAATGATTTAGGGATGGAGGGAGTATAAAATTATATGATTTGTAAAATAATTTAATAATTTAATAATTTAAAAATTGGTATACAAATAAAAAATTTATATTATTTAAAAACTATATTAAATATTTTACAGAATAAGATGTGACAAGAATGTTTCATTTTACGATAATAATTAATGAAAATATGGAACAGAAGAAATATTATCGAGAGCCAATTTTCAATAATGTGAAATGTATATGATTATGATT